AGTGTAAACTAAAGTGTCCCCCAAATTGTGTACATGCAGCAAGGTTCTTACCGATTGAACTTTGTTATTTGTACACTGATTTTTAACACGTAGTTTGACACTTGTATTGTTGTCAATTGTCAATTGGATGAGAAATCTGTTTGAAATTAAACAGTCCAACATAATAATGTCACGTGACAAGGCGTAAATTAAAGTATACACCATAGAGTACACGTAGCAAGGTTCTTACCGATTGAACTTAGCTAGTTGTACACTGATTTTTAACACGTTGTTTGACACTTGCATTGTTGTCAAGTGTCAATTGGATGGAAAAATGGTTTGTAATTTAAACTGTCCAACAGGATAATGTCACGTGGTAAAGTGTAAACTGAAGTGTACACCATAGTGTACATGTAGCAATATCCCTACCGATTGAACTTTGCTATTTGTACATTGATTTTCAACATGTTGTTTGACACTTGGATTGTTGTCAAGTGTCAATTGGGTGGGAAAACTGTTTGAAATTTATACTATCCCACATGGTAATGTCACGTGGCAAAGTGTAAGCTAAAGTGTACACCGTAGTGTACATCTCGCAAGATCCTTACCGATTGAACTTGCTATTTGTACTGCTGTCAAGTGTTAATTGGATGGGAAAACTGTTTGAAATTTAAACTTTCCAACAGCGTAATGTCACGTGCCAAAGTGTAAACTAAAGTGTGTACACCATAGTGTACATGCAGCGAGGTTCTTACTGATTGAACTTTGCTATTTGTACACTGATTTTTGACACGTTGTTTTACCATTGCATTTTTTGTCAATTGTCAATTGGATGGGAAAATTGTTTGAAATTTATATTGTCCAGCAGGGTAATGTCCATGGTAAAGTGTAATCTAAAGTTACACCATAGTGTACATGTAGCAAGGTCCTTATTGATTGAACTTTACTCTTTGTACACTGATTTTTGACTCATTGTTTGACACTTGAATTGTTGTCAAGTGTCAATTCGATGGAAAAATGATTTGAAATTTAAACTATCAAGAAAGGTAATGTCATGTGGCAAAGTTTAAACTGAAGTGTACTCCGTAGTGTACATGTAGCAAGGTTCTTACCGATTGAACTTTGTTATTTGTACATTGATTTTTGACACTTTGTTTAACACTTGCATTGTTGTCATGGGTCAATTGGATGGGAAAACTATTTGAAATTTAAACTGTCCAATAGGATAACGACACGTGGCAAACTGTAAACTAAAGTTTACACCATAGTGTACATGGGCAACGTTCTTACTGATTGAACTGTGCTATTTGTACACTGATATTGGACACGTTGTTTGACATTTGCATTTTTGTCAGGTGTCAATTTATGGGAAAACTATTTGAAATTTAAATTGTCCAATAGGGTAATGTCACATGGCAAAGTGTAAACTAAAATGTACACGATAGTGTACGTGTAGCAAGGTTCTTACCCATTGAAATTTGTTATTTGTACACCGATTTTTGACATGTTATTTGACACTTGCATTGTTGTCATTTGTCAATTGGATGGTGAACTGTTTGAAATTTAAACTGTCCAACAGGGTAATGTCACGTGGCAAAGTGTAATCTAAAGTGTACACCTTAGTGTACATGTAGCAAAGTCCTTATCGATTGTACTTTACTATTTGTACATTGATTTTGTACACATTGTTTGACACTTGCATTGTTGTTAAGTGTCAATTGGATGGAAAAACTGTTTAAAATTTAAACTTTCTAACAGTGTAATGTCATGTACTGAAGTGTAAACTAAAGTGTACACTATAGAGTACATGTAGGAAGGTCCCTACCGATTAAACTTTGCTATTTTTTAAACTATCCAACAGGGTACTGACACGTAGTAAAGTGTAAACTAAAGTGTACACCATAGTGTACAAATAGCAAGGTTCTTACCGATTGAACTATACTATTTGTAGATTGACACGTTGTTTGACAATTACATTGTTGTCAATTGTCAATTGGATGGGAAAACTATTTTAAATTTAAACTGTCCAGCAGGGTAATGTAACGTGGCAAAGTATAAACTAAAGTACATACACCATAGTGTACATGTGGTAAGCTTCTTCCCTATTGAACTTTGCTATTTGTGCATTGATTTTTGACACATTGTCAAGTGCTAATTGGATGGAAAAACTATTTGAAATTTAAATTGTCCAATAGAGTATTGTCACGAGGCAAGGTGTAAGCAAAAGTGTACGACATAGTGTACACATGCGTTGTTGTCAAGTGTCAATTGGAAGGGGAAAATTGTATGAAATTTTAATTGTCCAATAGGGTAATGTCACGTAGCAAAGTGTAAGCTAAAGTGTACACCATAGTGTACATGTCACATGGTCCTTACCAATTGAACCCACTATTTGTATTGTTGTCAAGTGTTAATTGGATGGGAAAACTATTTGAAATTTAAACTGTTCAACAGGGTAATGTCACGTGGAAAAGTGTAAACAAAAGTGTGCACTACAGCGTACGTGTAGCAAGGTTCTTACCATTGAACTTCGGTATTTTACACCGACTTTTGACACGTTGTTTGACACTTGCATTGTTGTCAAGTGTCAATTGGATGGGAATTTTTTTGAAATTTAAACTGTCCAATAGGGTAATGTCACGTGGCAAAGTTTAAACATTAGTGTGCACCACAGTGTACGTGTAGCTAGCTTCTTACCGATTGAACTTTGCTATTTGTACACTGATTTTTGACATGTTGTTTGACACTTGCATTGTTGTCAAGTGTCAATTGGATGGGAAAATTGTTTGAAATTTGAACTGTCCAATAGGGTAATGTTACATGGCAAAGTGTAAATAAAAGTGTACACCATAGTGTACATGTAGCAAGGTTCTTACTGATTGAACTTCTCTATTTGTACACTGATTTTTGACACGTTGTTTGATACTTGCATTGTTGTCAAGTGTCAATTGGATGGGAAAACTGTATGAAATTTGAACCTGTCAACAGCGTAATGTCACGTGGCAAAGTGTAAACTAAAGTGTACATCATAGTGTATATGTAGCAAGGTTCTTACCGATTGAATTTCTCTATTTGTACATTTATTTTGACACGTTGTTTGACACTTCCATTGTTGTCAAGTGTCAATTGGATGGGAAAATTGTTTGAAATTCGAACCGTCCAACAGAATAATGTCACGTGGCAAAGTGTAAATTAATGTGCACACCATAGTCTACATGTAGCAAGGCTCTTACGATTGAACTTTGCTATTTGTACACTTATTTTTTACACGTTGTTTGAAACTTACATTGTTGTCAAGTATAAATTAAATGGGAAAATTGTTTGAAATTTAAGCTGTCCAACAGGGTATTGTCACGTGGAAAAATGTAAACTAAAGTGTACACCATAGTGTACATGTAGCAAGATTCTTACCGATTGAACTTTGCTATTCGTACACTAATTTTTGACATTTTTTTGGCACTTGCATTTTTGTCAGGTGTCAATTGGATGGGAAAACCGTTTGAAATTTAAACTGTCCAATAGGGTAATGTCACGTGGCAAATTGTAAACTAAAGTGTACACCATAGTGTAGAGATGTAATTCTAGCTCCTTTGAAATTGCTAGTCAATCCTATTTTTGATAGGGGCAGTTGACAATTTAATCCAATTTTGACCATTATTTTCATATCCATAAGAGTACGAAAAGAAGGCTCGACTCCAAGTTGTTCAGGAATAGTGGCGTTGAGTTTCTCAACCCTTTAACATAGGATTAGTCAGTTCTATTTCTCAATGGGGATAGGAAGGGGATATAACTCAGCGATAGAGTGTCACCTTGACGTGGTGGAAGTCATCAGTTCGAGCCTGATTATCCCTAAACCCAATGTGAGTTCTTCTATTTGGATTTGCTCCCCTACCGTGATTCAATGAGAATGGATAAGAGGCTCGTGGGATTGACGTGAGGGGATAGGGATGGCTATATTTTTGGGAGCGAACTCCGGGTGAATATGAAGCACATAGATACAAGTTATGCCTTGGAGTGAAAGATAATTCCTAATCCATTTTGTCTACGAACAAGGAAGCTATAAGTAATGCAACTATGTATCTCATGGAGAGTTCGATCCTGGCTCAGGATGAACACTAGCAGTATGCTTAACACATGTAAGTCGGACAAGAAGTGGTGTTTCCAGTGGTGGACTGGTGAGTAATGCGTAAGAACCTACCCTTGGGAGAGAAACAACAGCTGGAAATGGCTGCTAATACCCCGTAGGCTGAGGAGCAAAAGCAGGAATCCACCTAAGGAGGGGCTTGTGTCTGATTAGTTAGTTGGTGAGGCAATAGCTTACCAAGGCAATGATTAGTAGCTAGTCTAAGAGGATGATAAGCGACACTGGGACTAAGACACGGCCCAGACTCCTACGAGAGACAGTAGTGGAGAATTTTCCACAATGGGCGAAAGCCTGACGGAGCAATACTGTGTGGAGGTAGAAGGCCCATGGGTCATGAACTTCTTTTCCCGGAGAAGAAGCAATGACAGTAACTGGGGAATAAGCATTGGCTAACTCTATGCCAGCAGCCGCGGTAAGATAGAAGATGCAAGCGTTATCCGGAATGATTTGGCGTAAAGCGTCTATAGGTGCTTTTTAAGTCCACCTTCAAATCCTGGGCTCAACCCTAGCTAGGTGGTGGAAACTACCAAATAGGAGTATGGTAGGGACAGAGGGAATTTTTGGTGGAGCGGTGAAATGCATAGAGATAAGAAAGAACACCAATGGCGAAATCACTTTATTGGGCCAACACTAACACTAAGAGACAAAAGCTAGGGAAGCATATAGGATTAGTTACCCCAGTAGTCCTAGTCGTAAATGATGGATACTAGGCACTGTGAGTATCGACCCTTGCAGTGTTGTAGCTGATGCGTTAAGTATCCTGCCTGGGGAGTATGTTCGCAAGAATGAAACTCAAAGGAATTGAGGGAGGCCCACACAAGCGATGGAGCGTGTGGTTTAGTTCGATGTAAAGTGAAGAACGTTACTAGGGCTTGAC